GAAGGACATGTATGCCTTGCTCCTTACTCACAGTGCACATCCACTAGGATGCTGACGTTGGTGCTGCCCACGGCGTTGAACACCTCGCAGGAGACGGGCTCAGTGAAGAAGGTGTGGTCGGCGGTAGTCACGTACACGCTCTCCGTGGCTCCCTCCAGGATGATCCCACCCTTGGCCCATCTGTCCATAACAGGAGATCAAGGCAGGAAGCAGTCAGACAGGAAACAGCCACCAGGGGTGAGCAACTCCTGCCCCACGGACCCTGCAAGGGGTTGTGGAGACATAGGGAGGAGACCGTGATCGCGTAGCCTGACCTGTATCCCTGGATCTCTGGGTTGGCGGTAGCGGAGCAGGTGAAAGTCACTCTCTCCCCCTCCAGGACAGAGCGAGGCTCGATCGAGAGGGTCACCGTAGGTGGGTCTGCAGTACAAAAAAAAAACGGTTCATCACCTTCAGCGAAAAGTTGAGATTTGCCCGCATTAACTGCTGGGAGAGCATCAGACTGACGTTATGCATTAAATAAGGAGACTAAAAGTCACCGAGGCAGAAACCCAATCAGGAGGTTATGCAGTCTGGACGTTCGAGGGTCAGTTCACCAGCAGAATGATGGGAAAAGGGACAAGGGGAGCTGGGGGACGCTTGGGTTTTCATGCTGTGGCTGCAACCTGTGACTGAATGCAAGTTACTGCAAGGCTAGTCATTACCGTAGGACAGCCCACACCCATCATCTCCCAGAAACAAAAGCCCCGCTGTTGGTGTTGTGTGGCCTTGGGCTGTGAAACAAAGTGCCTTGTTCTCGTCACATGTTTTCTCTGTAGATCCCCAGGAGTCAGTGCCATTCCAAGTAATAGTGGACACTTCTTACGAAACCAGCAGCACAGCAACAAAGAATCCCGATTTGGGACCCTGCTGTCTTGAGCACTGAACCCGGTGAAAGACAGCAGGGATTGTCTTGCTACTGCACAAGAAGAGTTTCGTCAGTCCACCATAGGTTCCTTGGATAACTCTCGCCACTGACAAACGTCTCTATACAGACAGTTGTTGACTCCTGGCTACTACACAATCTGAGTTTTAATTTTAGTACTGTCCATTTTTGTGGCAAAGGCGACAGGCCAGGTAAGCCGTTCTCCTCCATGTGACTCACGGTGCACGTTGAGCGAGATGGTGGTCTGCTTGCCCGCGGGCAGGGCTTCGTTGCTCGTGTGGCAGGTGTATCTTCTCCCGATGTCGGCGTCCGTGGGCAGGATAGGAAGGAAGCTGTGAGTCGTCACCCGCTTCCTGTCCGGTAGCACTTCCTGCAAGGAGAGGCGAAAGCTCTGACAGGGATCGTTGACGCATCGGCTATTCGGCTGCTGTAGAGAAACGTCACTCAGGCTACCGAGAGTACAACAGGAGAGTAATACTGAAAGCACAGGGGCGGTAGATACATTTCTAAAAGCAGAAGAATTACCATACAGGAGGCTGGCTTTCAATTCACTGTGATTACAAAGATTTCCCTACATTCTGTATAAGGGAGTTCCCAATCATGGTCCCAGAGGGCAGGTGTGTCTGCCAGTTTTCCAGCTATCGTTAAAGCACCAGCGGTTGAAGAGCTGGGATAAGTGCACAAACTGGTTCAATGAAGTCAATGACGAGCAAGTCACAAAGTGCCAAGTTGAACCGGTAACCAACAGACCCAATGCACCCTAGAGGTCTATGACTGGGGCACCCCATGTCAATACAATACACAAAAGTTATAAACAGTGGCCAGAGCTGCAAAACAGAGGGACATGAGGATGACATAAAAATGCCTTCGCCAACACCGGGACAGCCGAGAGGAACGCTCAATGCCAATTTAAGATTTGAAAACGGGCGAGGGTTATCTACCGTGGAACTGATGGCACCTTCCTGGCGGATCCCGTCCTTCTGCCACTCGATAACAGCTACTGGCTTGGCGGCTCGGGCGTGGCATGTCAGGTTATAGGCTATCCCCGCCGTCAGCAAGATTTCAGGACCCCCGTCAATGACCGGGTCTTCTGGAGGAACTGAGAAAGGGAGATCGAGAAACATGAGGACAGAGGGACAAGGGGACGGTATGGAGTCTTCCATCATAGGTGCGGGGATTGGTCTCCTTCTCACCTCGATCACTCACTCATCCCCCCAAAAAAACCTGCTCAGACATAACAGTTGATAAGCTCATTGGGGGGGTGGAGAGGCGTCTTTATTGGTGTCTAAAGGTGTTCATCAATGAAAGCTTGGCAGGCACTTGATTGCCCCCAGGACTCACTGCTG